TGGTCAGTAATATATGCTGAAAGAGAAATGTTCTACTTCTGTTCCAAATTTCTCTTTTTACTGTATTAAATCTGTAGATTGCAGCCATCCTACATGCACGGCCATCAATCATTCTTCCAAATGGATCTTCCCCAAGCAAGTTCACATTGGGTGAACTTACAGATAGTGTTACTAAACCCAGGACCCTGCATTCACTATATCCATTCTACAACGTTACATAGAACATATAAATGCAATTATTTTATAAACTGTTAAATGCCTTTTCTCATCAGCAGTTAGAGCAGTCGTGTGACTTCTATCAGTATCCAGCTGAGCACTGGCTAGTCTTGTAGGAGGAGATTTCATTCTGCTCTGACTGTCCTGCATAACCAGTGACCCTCTGTCTGGGCAGCGCTGATTGGCTCTGTGTTGACCATTTGAGCCAAGCCTTGTGACTTCTATCAGTGTCCAGCAGAGCACTGGTTGAAGTTTTCATTCTCCCCTGATTGTCCTATGAGGCTGCATAACCCCTGACCCTCTGTCCGGATTGGGAATTTTAATAGGATACTCCAAGATTAGAACTACTCACAAATGATCTCTTAATTAAGCACTGTTGAAAGCAGATAGCAGACCTCGCTTTAGATTGTAGCAACAAGTAGTTTAGGAGTGAGCAAAGTCTTTTGCAGTAGCAACAGTTGGGCAAGCTCTACAGAACACCAGTCAATTTTCCCTTTGTAACAGAACCGTCCCCAGACTGCACTTGGGTACTTCCGTTAGGATACCGCTTCCTTGTCCGAACACCGACCACAGGCACCACAGCTGACCATACAAGACTAGATGACACCAGTTTTGAAGTAAACCAGGAAATAGACTACTTTATTTTAACACAGATACAAGATATATACATTCAAGGGAATAACCCCCCCCCCCCTCCTGCATAATGACACAGGGCGGGGCAATCTACCTTTAGTAACAAGAGACACACCAACAGACAGTCCCATCAGGAGGGAGGGCTGCTGGAAACACCCCCCACCAAGCCAATACACAAACACATACATCCCATAATAGTTTGCTCCCAAGCAAGACACACAATAGAACAATTGGATGCAACCACATGACATTGAACACTCAACAACCCCCCACCCCAATATTATGACAGATCACCCTGTACCCATAACAGGCACAGGGTGACTTACACATAAGAGGAATTTGGGGAGCTGAGACAGGGGCCTCCCCACCTCTCCAAAGTGAGCTGTGTTCCATTAGCCCCCCCACCCAAAGTGACTCCCTTCACACCCTTCTTTTCAGACCCACGCTGACTATGAAGCACCAGAGGGGCAGCAAAGCTCACAAAGTCCCCAAGATCTCTCAGTGTCTGTACTCACAAGGCCCAAGAACAGAATGGTAGCCTCCTTCCAATCTTCCAAGCGACACCCTTCAGTGACACCAGACAGTTCTTTGGCAGACAGCTCACCTCAGTCAGTTCACCGAAGAACCAGGGTCACTCTTTCAAACTTCAGGCCCTCAGGTCACCCACCTGAGGCCGCATGGCAGCAAGTGCCAGTAGAATCAAGCCTGCCTTTAGCCTGGCTTAGTGCAATCCTCTCCAGGAAAGACCCCGCGCCATTGTGTCCACGGAAGATAAATACCACTACCAGCATAAAATGGAGCGACCCTGCTCTGCAATTGGCCAGGGCTGAATCCATATTCATGCTGCTCATTTGCCTAGCTCCCACCCAGGTTCTGGCAGGCTCTGGTTGCTTTCAGCACCTGTGACTGTGAGAATACTCCAACAATAACTATGTCTGCAGTCCCTGTTCATCCAATGATTTTCCACCATGCTCCTTCGATTCTTCAAAAGAGAGCCAGGTGGTGCCAACAGGGCCACCCACACCTCAAATTTCAGACAATTCAGCAGGTTTTAGCTGAAATTCAAATCGTCTATGGCCAGCTTTAGTGGGAGGATCAAAGGCAAAATTGATGCTTGGGTTACAAGAACGTTTCTAAGAAGGGTTAGTGTGAGAATTACAAGAAAAGTTATTGTGAGGAAGCCCCGAGGCATTACTCTCAGCACTGGAAGCTCTACATCAAACCCTAGCACTGGTCTCCTGAAAGCTGAAAGTTTATATATTGATGGTAGGTTCTTCCACCTTGGTGCTGACCCTTCTTCTTCTGTTGCACTAAGGAATTAGTGTTAGGTTTTTTGCCTTTTCTACAGAAGTTTGCATAGAGCAGGAGGTAAGGAGAGCCTTTCAGATCAAGCCTCCTCTAGAGCGCACCCCATGAGGCCAAATTCTCATCGTCCCTCACAACAGATGATTCAGGAGCTCCTAATAGTTCGGACAAACCACAAACTCCCATCTCATTACTGAAGTAAATATTCTACATGAAATATTTGTGATCACAACTTCATTTAATTTTTTTTGTATCCAGGTTCAATGTGGACTCCCGGAGCTGCAATATATCAAAGCACGTGAGTGTCACCGTTGTTGGCAGTAATAACATTTGTTAGTAGGTCGTCCATCAATCATTCCATAATGTGCGACTGACTCCCTCTGGCACCAATTCCTGTGTTCACCACGATGCATATTTCTGTGTGTATTTATATATATTCTGTAGGTAGACATCTAATCACTTCTTTCTTTTCCTCTCCTGCTTCTGTGTTGTTGGAACTGCAGAAGGTAAATATTATTATTATTATTATACAGGATTTAAATATATATATAAAGATAAAAATATTGATCCTGCTTTCGAACCGCAAAAGAGAGCAGCTTAAAAGCAATGTATGATGGTTGCTGGTCCATTTTACTTACTTTTTATGTTTAGAAGTTTATCAAGTGATGCTTTATACCAGTGGTCTTCGAACTGCGGCCCTGGGGCCGGATGTGTGACCCTTTGCTTGCCTTCCCACATGGAAGAAAAATGTATTTGAAATATATTTTTTAAATATTCTTCCCAAATATATTGACATATATTTGAAATACTACAATTTTGGCCATATTCAATATTTCAACATATATATATGTGTGTATATATATATATATATATATATATATATATATATATATACATACATATATACTTTATGTTGAAATGCGTTTTTATTACAACATATATGAAAAATATTTTTAAAAATACATTTTCAAATATACTGTATGTCTTTAAAAATACAAATCTACATTTTTGGAATGCATTTACAAATATATGTAATTTATATGTTAACATTACTTTTTTATATGATATAATCTGAAGAATATATTAAAAAAAAAATATATTTTTACAAATAAATATTTTTAAAATATATTCTTTTAACATATAAAAAAGTTATTTTAACATATATTTTTTTACATATATTTCAAAATGCCTTCCAAAAATGTAGATTTGTATTTTTAAAGACATACAGTATATTTGAAATTTATTTTTAAAAATATTCTTCATATATTTTGTAATAAAAACGCATTTCAACATAGAGTATATGTATTGAAATATATATATTGAATATAGCCAAAATTGTATGTATTTTTACAAATATTTTTCATAAATTATGTAACAAACGCATATCAACATAGAATATATATATATAATACAGCCAAACTTCTAGTATTTCAAATATGTCAATATATTTGGGAAGAATACTTTTTAAATATATTTAAAATATATCTCTCTTCCATGTGGGTATCTCAACCCGCTTTGTGTTTGTGGGTGTATATATATATATATATATATATATATATATATATATATATATATATATATTTTGAAATATATTGAATATGGACAAATTGTAGTATTTCAAATATATGTCAATATATTTGGGAAGAATATTTTTAAAATATATTTCAAATATATTTTTCTTCCATGTGGGTTTATCTATCCCTGGGGCCTATTCCTTAAGACACACTGTTCTGCCAACTGATACAAACAAAATAGGTCACCATTTCTCCCACTGACACCAATAATGGGGCAGTATTCCTGTGACAGCCAGGTGCCCACTGCACGTGCGCGAGAAGCGCTGCGCTTTGTGAATGGTCCAGTGTCTTCTGGGACACATGACAGGTCCCAGAAGGCTCCGGGCCATTCACAAAGCGCAGTGGGCACCCGGCTGTCACAGAAGCCGCCGCGGGAGGAAGAAGGAAGGACAACTCCGTGGAAGTGGGAGCGAGTACCTGTCAAATTCAGGTACCCGTTCCCCCTCCCTCCCCAAAGGTCCGCAGTCTCTGGTAATCTCCTTTACTGTCTGCAGTCTCTGGTCATCCCCTGCACTGTCTGCAGTCTCTGTTCATTCTCTGTACTGTGCGCAATCTCTAGTCATCTGTACTATGTCCACAGTCTCTGGTCATTCCCTGTACTATGTCCGCAGTCTCTGGTCATTCCCTGTACTATGTCCGCAGTCTCTGGTCATCTCCTGTACTATGTCCGCAGTCTCTGGTCATCTCCTGTACTGTGTCCGCAGTCTCTGGTCATCTCCTGTACTATGTCCGCAGTCTCTGGTCATCTCCTGTACTATGTCCGCAGTCTCTGGTCATCTCCTGTACTATGTCTGCAGTCTCTGTTCATTCCCTGTACTATGTCCGCAGTCTCTGGTCATCTCCTGTACTATGTCCGCAGTCTCTGGTCATCTCCTGTACTGTGTCCGCAGTCTCTGGTCATTCCCTGTACTATGTCCGCAGTCTCTGGTCATCTCCTGTACTGTGTCCGCTGTCTCTGGTCATCTCCTGTACTATGTCCGCAGTCTCTGGTCATCTCCTGTACTATGTCCGCAGTCTCTGGTCATCTCCTGTACTGTGTCCGCAGTCTCTGGTCATTCCCTGTACTATGTCCGCAGTCTCTGGTCATCTCCTGTACTGTGTCCGCAGTCTCTGGTCATTCCCTGTACTATGTCTGCAGTCTCTGGTCATCTGTACTATGTCCACAGTCTCTGGTCATTCCCTGTACTATGTCCGCAGTCTCTGGTCATCTCCTGTACTATGTCCGCAGTCTCTGGTCATCTCCTGTCCTATGTCCGCAGTCTCTGGTCATCTCCTGTACTGTGTCCGCAGTCTCTGGTCATCTCCTGTACTGTGTCCGCAGTCTCTGGTCATCTCCTGTCCTATGTCCGCAGTCTCTGGTCATCTCCTATACTATGTCCGCAGTCTCTGGTCATCTCCTGTCCTATGTCCGCAGTCTCTGGTTATCTCCTGTACTGTGTCCGCAGTCTCTGGTCATCCCCTGTACTGTGTCCGCAGTCTCTGGTCATCCCCTGTACTGTGTCCGCAGTCTCTGGTCCATTTCCTGTACTGTGTCCGCAGTCTCTGGTCATCCCCTGTACTGTGTCCGCAGTCCATTGGTTCAGAATATTTTTTTCTTGTTGTTCTCCTCTAAAACCTAGGCGCATCTTATGGTCAGGTGCGTCTTTTTGAGGGAAAAATACGGTATATGAATCTCCGTACGGCCATAGTAACGAATGCAATGAATCCGGAAAAAGTTTATAAAATAACAAATGCATTAGTTTTATTTGGATGACATCTCATGATGCGATAGTAGTTCAGGTCCATGGGGAAATCAATTCAATCTTCAAATTCGTTCAGTAATTCGGATTCAAGTAAATTTGTGAATTATATTGAATTTGTGATTGTCACAATGGGATTTATTTACTAAAGCTGGAGAGTCCAAAATCAGACTCCCCTCTGCATAGAAACCAATCAGCTTCTAACCTCAGCTTGTTCAATGAAGCTTTGGCAATGAAACCTGGAAGCTAATTGGTTTCTATGCAGAAGGGAGTCTGATTTTGGACTCTCCAGCTTTAGTAAATAAACCCCAATGTGTCAGTTCAGTTCCACAGTCTAATGCAATTCTTAAGTTTGAAAAATTAAGGGCCGCCGAATTTTGCATGATTTATTCTGTTGTGCCAGGGGCGGACTGACCATTTGGAAACTCGGGCACTGCCCGAGGGCCCGGGGTCAGTAGGGAGCCCCATGAGATGCCCCTGGTACCTTTTTCATAGGCTTTTTTGAGTTTGGGCAAGGACACAGGGGCCCCATGATCCCCTATTGCCCGGGGGCCCCATGAGTCGTCAGTCCGTCCCTGGCTGTGTCGGAAAATATTGAATCCTTCCAAATAGTTTCAATATATAAATATTGAATCCACTTAAAAAAATATACAGCAATCTTTCGAAAAACTGCCAATTTTTTTGTTAATCCATCTGGACCTACGAATATATGAAACAAATGCCGAATATAACTAAATGAATTTTCAAAATTAATCGGTTCAACCAGGGGCAAACTGACAACTCATGGGGCCCCCGGGCATTTAGGGATTATGGGGCCCCTGTGTCCTTGCCAAAACTCAAAAAAGCCTATGAAAAAGGTACCAGTGGCATCTCATGGGGCCCCCTACTGAACCCGGGCCCTCGGGCAGTCCCCGAGTTTCCAAATGGTCAGTCCGCCCCTGGGTTCAACATAACGAACATGATGAAAAGAAATTCTTCAATGAACGAATGCATCTGAAACAAAATGAAAGTTTTCATCGCGCACATGTCTACTATAGATCACTAAGTTACCATGGTGTGTGAGTATAACCCGCGCAGAGGACTGATCAATTAGGCTGGCTGCTGCTAGCAAAATCACAAATATGTACCGGTAAACAAATATGTGAGTGCAAAGCATAAAAATGGCTGCGCTGCTTCTCCCAAAAACTACTTTAAATAGTTAATTAAATAAATAAATGAACTCCATACTACACAAAGGTCCCCGTAAATGTGCGTGTACTATAATGCCCCGTGGGCTGGCAATTTTATCCCTTTTCCCCAGTGACTAAATCCCACATAAACCAATAAGTAAAAACAAGGTGCTTAAACGACAATAGTGCTAAAAATAGCACATATACAATGCCATGAAACTGTGTATACAGTAAAATTGTATAAAACTATCTATATATATATATATATATAATGTCCCAATAATTGTGCAAACATATAAAAGTAAAAAATAAAATTTTAAGTTCCAAAAAAACCCCCATCCGCATTTGGTATGAATATTAAGTGATACAGTAGTAAATCTTATCCATAGCAATTCTCTGTGCGAAGTGCTCCAATTAGTGCTCCCCCTCCAGAGCCCCACTCACCACAGGTAATTAACCACCTGGAATGGTAGGACAAATATCGCATGAGATGTTGCAGCGCTCTCCTGCAGGAAAGTTGGCCATCTGTGTGGTCTTGACACCTCTATACGCTGATGACAGACTCCATAGTGGATCAATCGTTTGCGACAAAACTCCTCCAGAACCTCCACAGTACTCCTCCACCACCGTAAAAACATCAAAGGGAAACTTCCATAGCGTAACACCGTATTTATTAGGTAAAAAAACATTTAAAATTGCACTTACATAAAAACCATGTGTATGGCACTTTAAAATCTCAGCAAAAAGCAATTCCTTCTCAGAGGACAAGTGTAGCGCTATCAAGCCCCACCCTACATGTTTCGTCGTATTACGTCATCAGGTGTGAAGAAGAAGCGGAAGCTTGGAAACAAAATCACCTGACTTGCCTGTGCTCCCCCATTGGACACTGCCTCCAGCAGTTTGGCGCTGGTTGCGGCTCACATGGCTGACAGCTCACAGTCTGACATGGCCATCACAGACTGAGGAGTGGAGCACTACCATCGGCTTACCCCTGGACATCTCCATTGGGCTCAGATATCACATCAATATATATCTACAGTTGCAAGAAAAAGTATGTGAACCCCTTGGGATTACGTGGAGTTTTGCATGAATTGGGCATAAAATGTGCTCTAAACGTCATCTAAGTCACAACAATAGAAGAAACACAGTCTGCTGAACATAATACTACACAAACATTAGATGTTGCCATGGTTTAATTGCACATAACATGTAAACATTCACAGTGCAGGGAGAAAAAAAGTATGTGAGGCCCTAGCTTAATGACTTCTCCCAGAGCTAATTGGAGCCAGGAGTGAGCCAACCTTGACTCCAATCAGTGTGATGATATTGGATGTGTTGCTGACAGCTGTCCTGTCCTTGAAAAACACACACCTGTTTTGGGTTTACTGGTTTCAAGAAGCACTGTCTGATGTGAACCATGCCTCGCAGAAAAGAGCTCTCAGAAGACCTACAATCAAGAATTGTTGACTTGCATGAAGCTGGAAAGGGTTACAAAAGTATCTCCAAAAGCCTTGATGTTCATGTGTCCACGGTAAGACAGACTGTCTACAAATGGAGAAAGTTTAGCACTGTTGCTGCTCTCCCTAGGCGAGGTCGTCCTGTAAAAATGACTGCAAGAGCACTGCGCAGAATGCTGCATGAGGTAAAGAAGAATCCCAGAGTGTATGTCCAATTCATGCAAAACTCCACATAATCCCAAGGGGTTCACATACTTTTTCTTGCAACTGTATATACATATACTACCTTTGTGAGTTATTACTGTTTTTATCAATTATACCCTGTTTTTAAAGTACTACACCTAGGCTGGCGCCCCCGTTTTTTACCTTCTGGTGCTAGAACTACTGCCCATGACCTGACGTTTGTTGTGATACTTCACATGTGTGGGACGATCGCTGCTTGTGTGCGTGGCCAACACAGGTGTTCGTCTTTGCACGTGAGCATGGGGGGACGGGGGAACTTTAAACTTTTTTTATTATTATTATTTATTTATTTTTATACTTTTGTTTTATTTTTTTTAATTTTTTTTCACTTTAAAGCAGAGTTCCACTCACTCTGTAAAAAAATAAAAGTCAGCAGCTACAAAAACTGTAGCTGCTGACTTTTAAAAAACAGCCACTCACTTGTCCCACAATCCCACGGTGCCCCCGCTGCAGCCCTTTTCACCGGCCGTCCTGTATTCCAGGCGCCGGCATCTTCAGTGCTTGCGACTTCACATGCGCAAGTAGCGCTGCACTTCCTGAATGGCCCCGTCGTCTTCTGGGACCTGTCACATGTCCCACAAGACTTCGGGGAGGCAGGGTAAGAACACAACTTCCATTTCCGATCACCTAGGCGATCGCAGCGGAAGTGGTACCCCTCCCCCCCCCCCACTTGCTAATCCTTAATGGGGAGCGGGGGACCAATCTTTAAAGTGGAACTTCCCCTTTTAGGTGGAACTCCGCTTTAAGGCTCCATGCACACGGGGCATTTTAATAACGTAGGTAACGTTAGCTGTGTAAAGACACGTTAAAAAGTTAGTTTTTTTTAGCGTTTTTGCGTTAGCGTTTTACTGTGTTTTTTCATGTGTTTTTGTGTTTTTTCGCATTTGCATTTTTTAGCACCCTAAAAAAATTGGGGGGGCAAAAAAAGTCCAAAAATGCCGGCTTGCCACGATTTACCGCGTTTTTCAGCGTTAGAGCGTTTCTACGGCTAAAAAACTCCTCTAGAAACTCACTAGTCCTGGATTTTTTTTCAGCCAAAAAACATCCCTGCCAAAAAAAGTTGATTCCAGTCTATGTGTGTATGGACACATAGGATAACATGCTGGGGGGTTTACTGGCTGTAGAAAAAAACGTCAAAAGCCAAAAACAGCTGCTGTAAAAACGTTCCGTGTGCATGAGGACTTATTGCTATCACAAGGAATGTAAACCTTGTGACAGCAATAGGCACATGACAGGTACTCTTTATGGAGAGATCTGGGGTCAATAAGACACCAGATCCCTTATCTGCCCTCAAAAGCATTTTATCACACCAAGATCAGCATGATCAGATGTTTTTCATTTTTAAAAATGGCGCCTTTTACATCCGGGTAAGCTGGAAGCAGGGGCGGACTGACAACTCATGGGGACCCCGGGCAATAGGGGATCATGGGGCCCCTGTGTCCTTGCCCAAACTCAAAAAAGCCTATGAAAAAGGTACCAGGGGCATCTCATGGGGCCCCCTACTGACCCCGGGCCCTCGGGCAACGCCCGAGTTTTCAAATGGGCAGTCTGCCCCTGGCTGGAAGTAATAAAGGTCATCACTTCTGTTTCTCTAAATCATAGAGCCAAATGCAGAGGTTCCACTCTTTGTTTGGCTTGATGATCATCCAGTAGGACAGCCCGTTAAAGCCACGGAAGGAGGCGGGGGGGGGGGGGATGTCTCCTCTCGCTGCTTGAAAGAGGTTAGTTAGCTGATCAGATTGCTTTTACAAGAGAGCCGACCATCGGCTCTAAAAATGGTACCGGGATGATGCCTGCAGCTGGAGGCACCATCCTGGTACAACCACTTAACGCCAAATACCTTCCTCTGGATCAACTGTGGGTATATGATTAAAACTTTTGTTTTTATTTTAATGGTTGAACTGGATGGACTTTTGTCTTTTTTCAGCCAGACTAACTATGTAACTATGACGCACATGTATATACCCTAATTCCATCTATCTTGTGGCCCATCCAGCAATGTCTCAGGTCCTTCCTCTTCTTT